ATACATACATACATACATACATACATACATACATACATACATACATACATACATACATACATACATACATACATACATACATACATACATACATACACACACACACACACACACACACACACACACACACACACACATACATACATACATACATGCATACATACATCCATGCATACATGCATACATACATGCATGCATACATACATGCATGCATGCATACATCCATACATACATACATGCATGCATACATACATACATACATACATACATACATACATACATACATACATACATACATACATACATACATACATACATACATACATACATACATACATACATACATACATACATACATACATACATACATACATACATACATACATACATACATACATACATACATACATACATACATACATACATACATACATACATACATACATACATACATACATACATACATACATACATACATACATACATACATACATACATACATACATACATACATACATACATACATACATACATACATACATACATACATACATACATACATACATACATACATACATACATACATACATGCATGCATGCATGCATGCAAACCCACTCTAACACATGCATCTGTTAAATTCTCCTCTCATCAATGGTTTTCAGCCACTACAGCAAAATTGTTCTACAACGGCATTTTGAGAGTAAACGCCACTAACATTTAACACATACGTTTACATTCCAAACGCCACAAAATGGTAACTTTAGCGATGTTTATATAAAAACGCTACAATTGGTTCATCTATAGTGGCGTTTTTTCAACAAACACCGCAACAGAGTAGTACTTTAGCGGCATTTTTATACAAACGCCACAATAGGTTCATCCATAGTGGTGTTTCTCAAAAAACGCCGCAAAAGAGTAGTACTTTAACAACGTTTTTATACAAATGCCACAACATAGTAGTACTTTAGCAGTGTTTTTATACAAACGCCGCAATAGAATTAATCTATAGTGGCGTTTTTTCAGCAAACGTCGCTAAACACGCGTAGTTTAGTGGCGTTTATATAAAAAATGCCGCTATATATGCATAGCCAATAGAAACCCTCCCAACACGGGTTTTAAGAACTCACACACTACAAAAGCTCTCTCTTTGTCTCTTCTATTTTAGGGTTTTTAAATGGAAAGAGCGACTGCCACCTTCAAATATGCTGCAAAAAGAGCGGAAGCAGCTCAGATTTTCAAAAATTTCAAACCCCCTCTCCCTCCAAGGTAAAGCTTGCTCATTTCCCACCATTTTCTTGTCCATTTCCCTCTTCTTTCTTATCTCATAATAGAATATCCACTCACCTAAAACAAACAAGAATATTCTTTCTCTGAATATGTAGGAAAATTGTCGCCATCGACTCTACAAATTCTAAAAAATCCATTGACTTGAAGACGTTTTTGTTTTCGCTTTCCTAAAAAATTTCTTTATTCTTTTGCTGGAGATCTGCTCTTTGCTTTGGATGCTTTGGCCTCTCCTTGATCCACAAAGGTGCGTCGTTTCTCATTCACTCCCTCCCCTTTATTGCCTCTGTTTCTTATTTTTCTCCTTTGTTGTCGAAGTAAATTATCACCTTCTTAAATCTGATCGCCAAACTCTTCTAGATTCTCTCTTTCTGTAAGCAGATCATATATATTTGTGTGTACTGTATTTTTCTCTTGTTTTTGCTTTTTCATTTGAACATTTTAGTAGATTGCCGAACTCTTTTAGATTCATTGTCTATGAGCAAATTATGTGTGGGCGCATATATATATATATAACCCTAGAACCTAAAGTTTCAATCTTTGTCGGTTGGAACTTATTTCCTTCTCCTTCTTCTTTAACTAAGATCGGGATTTAACTCTGTTTCTATTTTGTGTTCATTATGGATTATTGTATTTGACAATGTAGGTTTAGTTTGTGCTTTTATTTTTATGTAAAGCTACAATGTAATTAATCATTTTCATTTTTCATGTGGAATTTTTTTTTTATGTTTGCTTGGTTTAATATAAACCATTTTTTGATCGCAGGCAGTGTTCTGCATTGTGATCTTACGGGGAGGATTGTCTAAGCTTTCTTTCTAGATTTTTTATACGCTATATTGGGCTATTGACAGAGAAGTCGAGATCGATTGTCTTCAAAGAGACACTGAAGCTTCAGGACTCATTGGAGGGAGATTCAGTGCACTGGAACATGATTTTGAGTTTTGCATGGGTATGGATTGAGAGACGCTGGTGTCGTGCTATGTGATGGAGATGGATTGAAGATTACTAGAGTTGATATTGCTAAAAAAGATAAGGAACGTATTGTATCCTTGCTCTGGAATATATTTGTTCGTTTACAGGTCTGCTAAACTTCTCTTTATCTGAACTTTTAGATGTTAATTGTTTCTAAAGATTGTTTGTAATCGTTAATCCTTTAGCTTCCACTTATGTTTTCATTGATCTTGCAGTTGCCACTTCTTATTGTCAAAACAACCATTGGTGGGGAAATATCCAACATACGTGGCTTTAATATGGTATGCTTCAAATGTTCCTTGAATTCTGGTGAAAAATGGAGCTGGTGAAGGGTGGATAACTATTTAATTTTTCTATTCATTTCAAAATTAACAAGCTATATGCTTAAATACTAGGGATGGGTATGGGTCAGGTTTTTGGTCCACCCGACCCGACCCGAGAGCAAGAGAGCCTCCACTAAGACCCGACCCGACCAAAACAAGTTTTCACCCGACCCGACCCGAATATATGACATAGAAACCCAACCCGACCCAACCCGAAAAAATAAAAAAATTATTTTTATTCAATAAAAACAGTGATTTAATTGAAAAAAATTATATATAGAGGGGTATTATTATAATTATCCCTAAATATATAGGGTAAAATTATATATTTTTTTCGAGTCGGGCGGGTCGGATTTTTTTTCACCCTAAACCCGAACCCGAACACCACATAAAAAAATCCGACCCGATCGGGTCGGGTTTAAATGCCCATCCCTATTAAATACTAGAAAATTTAGCTAAGTTTTTTTTTATAATTATTACAGGTTAACTTGAATGTTATCAATTCCTCAAAATTTTTCTGATATATTTGTTAATCAATGGTTGTGTTCAGGGATTTTCATTTCCTGCGTGTTCACTTTTAAATTTGCATCTACATGATCTTACTGAAGTTAATTTTTTGTTGGCCAACTACTGAAGTTAACAAGTTGAACGAATATTTGTAGGCAAATGGTGAAAATTATGGTCTTAGGATTGAAAGCTTTTCTTCACTGGTCAATGGAAAAGCCATATGGTGCGTGCTTGATTATTACTTCCGCAAAGAACTTTCTTGTTTGAACAAGGTGGCAAACATTCTTTTTTTGTCCCAATGTTTTTCACTATTTTCTGTTGTATTATTAGTCTCTTACTTCTTTGTCTGAACAGAATTTTCATGAAACAAGAGGTGAGGAATCAATCATGTCTGCTTCTGATTACATAGATGCAGTTCACAATTTTGTATTATCACAGAAACAGACAGAAGTTTAATCTAAGATCACAGAAAACTCGATGGATATGGGATAACACCGTTGTCAATGTGTATATGCATTTGTATATTTGTTTCCTTTTAATATGGTATTAGTTTGAGGAAATTATCGTGTCAATGTTGTTGCATTTTCTAGTTTACTACATGTGCAAGCCCTTAGATTAAGCACTAAAATCTAATATTTGTTTTCTCTCTCTTCCCCTTCATTTATGCAGATGCTTCTAAAAGGTTCAAGGTCATTCTGGCTTGCTGGCAAGATATGACAGAACAAAACTACAGTAGTGTTATAAAACCTGCTGCTTTTACTTCATCTTTCTTTCCAGCACAGAAGATAAGCACTGAAATTTCCAGAGGTTATTTTCTGTCCCTCCTCTAGCTAATTCTTTTAACTAGTTTTCTTTTTCCTTTGTTCTACTATCGGATGATGCATTTCAACAATGACTAGGAGTTCTATAACTTTTACTCTAAAATTTTCTCCCTTTTTCTTTTAGGTTGGTGTTTCTACCTAATAAATTTAAATTTGATATCTATTGTTGCTTTCCGTATGTATTCCGTTAAATTCATCATATCATTACCATATCATTTATGTTTGTTGGCCTGCAGTTTATGCTGTCTAAATTAGCACTTATATTTGTGTCTTTCATGAAGCATGAGCAGAGTCTAATTCTCACAGTTAAACTGAAATTTGCATTCTTTACAGGAATATAGATGATGTTGACAAAACAATGAATGAGATGAGAACTGAAATTTGCTAATTCTCAATTTTCATACTATAGGAGGAAGGTTGTTATCTGTTTCAAGTGAAGCATTGAAGCGTGCAAGGAGTCTTCTTGGTGAACCAGAGCAATGAAGACTAGATTCTAGTGAAGAATTTTTTTTTAATTGAAAGTGAAATAACCTAGACTAAATTCTAGAGAACAATGTCAAATTACATTACATTTAATTTTAATGTTTATAAATTTTAATTTATTTTATTGTTAAAATTTATGGTTGTTATTAATATAAAGTTATATGATATTAAATTTAGGTGATGTAGAGCATAAATGAAATATGCAAAATATTAATTAATCTTAGCTAAAGAATGGTAATTAGCGGCGTTTATATCCACAAACGCCGCTACACATCGATCTTTTGCGACGTTTGTTTCAAAAACGCCACTATAGATCTCGACCTTTTGCGGTGTTTTTATTTCATAAACGCCGCTAACATTAGCGGCGCTGGTATAGCCGACGCTTTTTGCGATGTTTGTAAAAACGCCGCGATTGCTTTTAGCGGCGCTTAAAAATGCCACTATAATACTAAAAAACACCGCTAAAACTCTATTTTGCTGTAGTGAGCATTCATTTATTTAGAATTTTTAAGAGACTGAATCTCAATCATTAGAAGAAAAGACTGTTAGAACATTGTTTAAGCAGTAGACTTCATATGTATCATTATCTATCTGTGATTGGGGAGTGGTTCACCAGCAAGAAAGAATGGATGAGGCGAGAGCCTGGCTGGGTTTGTTTCGAGGCACCAAGTGACCAGCCCCTCTCACCGTCACCAGTGTCAACCCCTCGCATACTACCATCCTCCCTCCGACCTGCACATTTTCAAATTCCCAACTTTATAAATATTATAGGCATCTTGATTTTACAGGAAAACGAACAAGGAACCTGCTGGTCATGGAACCAAGAACGCCACGGTGATTTGAGCGGCAGCCCAAGAGCTTCAACGCAGTATCTGGAACTTATCACTGGTATTCTTCCATCCATATCCCCACTGTGTATATCAATCCACCAAAATCCATACCAGAATATAAGATTATTATTATTAGGCATGCCCGTTTTAAAAGACATGTACGTCTTGTACTATTTCTAGAATCAGCCATTTAAAATATTTTATAATAAAGTAAAATTGTAAAATATAAAAATATTATCATACGATTGTTTCTTAAAAAATTTAAACACATGAAAACTAAAACAATATCATAACAACAACTTTATAATCGTGACATTTTATTTAAAAAATGTTATCCTTCAACTGCTCTTAAAAGTAAAATTGTACTTTTTTTTTTTGGAAGTGTGGACCCCTAGATCTTTGAGTTCTATGACATATAACAAACTATACTTTTAGATGGACGGGCTTGTTATTAACGTAAAAACACATATGGTCCCCCAACTATAGGATGTTGCTTTTATAATCGTGACATTGTATTTAAAAAATGTTATCCTTCGAATGCTCTTAGAAGTAAAATCGTGATATTTTTCAAAGTGTGGACACCCAGATTTCAGGGTCCTATGACGTATCACAAACTATACTTGTAGATAGACAGTCTTGTTATTAACATAAAAACACAAATGGTCCCCCAACTATAGGATTTTGCTTTATTGAGTCTCCCAACTATTATAAGTTATAAAATGGTCACATGACTATAGAACACTGCTTTGTTAAGTCCCCAACTATTAAAAGTTACAAAATATTCACTCGATTATTCATATGTTCCAAACTCGTCATGTTCTGTTAAAAAAATTAGTGTTTGTCTGAACATTACGTTAACATGTTGATTGAGATATAATAAAATCTGATCTCATAACTACTTGAGTTGTATTTTGCGGATTGACTCTTCATTTATATTATGTTGTCAAGCCAGTGCTTGCAATATTACGTCGTTGAGCTTGTGCTTGAAAACAACGACGGTGTTAATAGATATTATTAAAATATAACTTTATCATATCTCAGTTAACATGTTAACATTCAACTCAAATGATCGTCAATTTTTTAACGAAAAATGACGAATTTGGAACATATGAATAGTCGAGTGACCATTTCATAACTTTTAATCTCTGTTTTGAAAACCGGACCGGACCGGCCGGTTCAACCGGGAACCATTGCTTAATCCGATTCAATCTAAACCGGTTGAACCGCTATTAGTGAACCGGCCAGAACCGCTGAACCGTTCGAACCGGACCGACTGAAAACCGGGAAAAACCGAGATTTTTGTTTTTTTTAAAAAAAATTAAACCAAACAACGTCGTTTGTTAAACGAGCCAAGTCGAACTCGAGTATTGCTGAGCTCGACTCGAACTTGAAAACTTTAAAAGTAAGCTCAACTCAACTCAGACTCACAAGCTAAAAATTATCAAGTTCAACTCAAACTCGAAATATAATATTGAAACTTGAACTCAAAAAGGCTTGAACTCAAAAAAAAATTAGAAGCTCGATTGAAGCCTAAAATTCGAGCTTGATTGAAGTGAAAGAATAGTTCACTCAATGCTCACCAAAAGGCTCCATGATTTTGAATGCCAAATTATCTCTATTATTTATAGAAGTTAGTTGTGATGCGCTTATATGTTTCTTAGCAATGTGAGATTGTTTTGTTCTCATATTTTTACTCTTTAGACTTTTGTGATGCTCTTCTATGTTTCTTAGCCATGTGGGATTGTTTTTTAAAAAAATTAAACAAAACAATATCATTTTGTTATGATTTTTTTAACCCCAAATTTATTTTTTAATTATAGTTATATAATTATATTTATTATTTAATATGTTTTACCTTAAATATTATGTTGTAGTTAATTTGAATCATTTTGTTTCACTTGATTTTATGGTTTTTAACTTATATGTTATGACTTACTTTGAATATGACTTGTGATATAAAAAATTATTTTTTATTAAATATTTTTGATATTTTTATTTAATTTTTTAAATAATTATGACGTCGTCTGGTTCTTCCGACCGGTCATACCGGTTCGACCGGTTGAACCAGTGAACCGGTAACATGACCGGTTCGCTAACTGGTCCGGTTCTGAAAACCATGCTTTTAATAGTCAGGGAACTCAACAAAATAACTCTATAATTAAGAGATCATTTTGTAACTTTTATTCATCGGAGACTTAACAAAGTAATACCATATAGTCGGAACCATTTGTATACTTTACCCTTATTATTATTCGTATGTACCATTTTAATAGACCAAAATGATCTTACCTATACATCCATATCTTCAGATTTGCTTTGATGAGCTTCTTGTAGGTGGGCAGTACAGAAAAGACAGAAAAATTATATGTATTCAAGATAGAATCTCTGGAAATAGAAGTAAATTCATGTTAGTGAATCAAATATAAAGATGCTTATGATAATGGAATCCTTGAACTACTTACTTGCAGCTCTCCCATTTTACTCCTCTGGCGTCTGCATGAATAGATTTTTGAACATCTGGCCTGTTGAAATACATTTCTGCATATTCAGAATAACATGGATCATGACCTCCTGCAAGGATCCTCACTCTCTTTAACCCATGATTTGTTTTCTGCAAAATTGAATGGTTACACTTTCAAACATTATATTCAGGATTTTCGTATTATGGTGTTCATATCGTATCGTACTGATATCCATACTTATTTAAGAATAGATAAATAGATCAATAGATAGTCACCTTATTAGCGGTTGATGATGACGTAGTGTTAAAAAGGCATTTAGGGGCATATATATTATAAATATCAATCTCGGAGTATTTGTCAAAGACTTGGTTAACGACATCATTGCACTCAGTGGACAAAATTAAAGCCTTGAAATCACACACTTGTTTGCTTTTACGGTAGAGGTCATCTGGTATTACCGAGTGGCTCCAAGCATAGTCCATAATACCAGTGTAGTCGTAGTTGTCATCGGTCACTGGATTTTCTACCTGCAAAAATGCATCCATCGAATGTGAGTTTACGGATTATCAACAAAAACATATAAAGAAAATATTTAAAATATATAAAAATTTGAAATTTATAAAGGATCACTATTTTCACCCGTCCCTTTAGTCCATCCTGCCTATAGCATCGACATGTTCATTCAAAGGTTACCATAAAGCCTTTGAGGTTGATGAATGGGTATCGACTTCTGTCATTGTTCCTATCATACACAAGCTCTGCTAGCTGAGGCACATAATGGCCTGCAACACATGAAGAATGATGATTATATAGACCGACTTTCATTTTATAAATTGTTCGTAGAGTTAGTAATAAGTTAAGAAAATTTTGAATAAATGTTAATATGTTATAATTATTTCAGACTTTTTAAAGAGAAAAAATATTATTTGTTGAGTTAAAAAATTGTTGTAGAATGATCATCCGTTAATGAAATTACTAAGTAATTTGATATTTCTAAATTAAGAGACGAGCATTGAAGTGAAATTTGAAATTATCAAATCAAGCAATTTGAATTTTTCCATCAAAATATTAACGTTGGAGTATTGTGAAAGAAAACTTGAGTTGCATAAGAAAATTTGTGATGGTTCAAAGAGTCTGAAGAGGGAGAGAGTCCTCCTTAGTCTATCTTAGGAAGTTGACAAGTTGAATAGATGTTATCATTGGGCAATAGGTTTGATTATAGCAAATCACATGATCTTGTCAAAAATTTTGTCAAGAGAAAATGATTGGTCGGAAGACATAAAATCTCAGAATCCATGGTCAACGGAGGAGGTTCTTCAGAGACCTCTTCTTATTCTAAAGGCTTCGGTTGTCGGAGTTGTTATTTGTGGAAGAAGTTTAAATGAGATATAACATTTGTCTCTCCTTAACGAGTGACTATCATAAAATGACTTGATTCGTTATTTGCGTGTGGCCGCATTTCTTATATTTAAGGAGTCGGTTTTGGGGGAAATTTAAGATGGTTGTTTTTAAATGGCTGGAGGTTAGAGAGACAGACCTGCGTAACTCTCTCCTGAGATGAAGAAATCACGAGATTTGAACTGCGGATATCGTTGAAGCCACTTCACCAAGAAATTATACGCATCCTCAGCTAAATGAAGATAAACACATTTAAGTTACTTTGTCGTTCAAATTATATATAATTACCAAACATTACTTAACCAATGAATTACCAACAAAGGCATCATCCAGTTTTGTGAGATCCGAAGATGTATTGGTGTACGAGAATCCAACTCCAATCGGAGATTCTACAAACAGCAAATTGGCCTCTACATGCAAAACGAAATCATGCAGAATTAATTAAAAAAATTTATAAGGAGAATGAAGATGGAGAGAGAATGAAACCTTGGTTCCAGGCAAACTGGTTGAACTCAAGGTCAACACCATTTTTACCAACTCTTAGTGGACCCAACTCCGAGGCTGCACCATAGGCTATTGAAGAACAACCAGGTCCTTTTAACACCCATAAGAAAAAAAGTCAATCATAAACACATAGTAGTATGTATGTATGTATGTATGTATGTATGTATGTATGTATGTATGTATGTATGTATGTATGTATGTATGTATGTATGTATGTATGTATGTATGTATGTATGTATGTATGTATGTATGTATGTATGTATGTATGTATGTATGTATGTATGTATGTATGTATGTATGTATGTATGTATGTATGTATGTATGTATGTATGTATGTATGTATGTATGTATGTATGTATGTATGTATGTATGTATGTATGTATGTATGTATGTATGTATGTATGTATGTATGTATGTATGTATGTATGTATGTATGTATGTATGTATGTATGTATGTATGTATGTATGTATGTATGTATGCATGCATGTGTGTAACCTCCATTAAGCCATAGCAGGAGAGGTTTCTGAGATGGTTCGGATTGAGCTTCAAAAAACCAGTAAAAAAGTGCCCTTCCATGCTCTTCATTTACTGTGATATATCCTGCAAACTGTGAAATCCACGGTGTCTGGGTCTGGTTCGGTAGATTGATTACTCCATCGGATTCCAGGACTGAACTTGCTACACTGATGCCAGGAACAACAAAGAAACATATGAACGAAATATCAGAAATCAAAACTCCTTTGGGTGATGCTTTCGAACCTATCTGGGTTTCAAGTTGAGCAATTCAATGGCTGAGATCCACAGGAAACGACGTTTTAGTAGAGAGCAAGGATAAACAGCACTTCCAAGCTTTACTTTTCTTTATTTTCTTGTATGGAACTGTTTGTTTTTGGGTAATTTTCAGATTTTCCTTTTTGTTTCATGAATGAGCCGTTCGGCATTGACTCGTTAAACTGATTATATTATCTTATATTGCAATTGTTGATTGAATACTGTTTTTTTTTTTGCACCAATATTATCGCAATCATCGATTTGAGTGGAATTACGTATAACATCTTCTTGTTTGTAATTTAACTAAAGCTTTAATGCCGACTTAGTAATGTCATATGTACAGAGGTGTCTGATTTTACACAATGACCAATCATATGATGATGACACGTAACATAATCAAATCGATATTAAAATTAAAATTTTAAAATACTTTTTAAACCCATGACATTAAGTTGGTAAGTCAACTTCTTAACCATTAATTTGAACAGTGAACTTAGACTTTTTCTAAATCAACATATGTTATTATGCTATGTTAGTATGTTTGTGTATGCAGCACTGCTATATCGGTGTTTGATGTCATGTAAATTTGTTATTTCATTTCACATTAATAATTAGTCAATTAACAATTTTTATTTATAGAACGATTGTTTTAACTTGAAATGATAAATGATGCTTTAAAAACGGAGTAGGGATAATCCAAAGTGAGGAAGATTCTTCAAGTAGCTTAAGAACAGGCACAACATTATGCCATCTCATAGTACCCAAACCGCCAATCTCTTTCGATAAAAGGCCGCTGTGTAGGTTCACCTATCAAACCAAAATGATAAAATAAAAATAATAATGATACCTTTTTTGGATTTTAGCATTCTAAGAAAAACAAAAAGGAAAACCTTCAGAAATCAAGTCAGATTTTGCAATTTATAACAATTTCAGCGTGTGCCTCCAAAAGGTCATTTTTCAAGTGACTAGTTGAGAAATGTAGTGTGCTAGGATGCAAGATACTATTATGACATGCACGTAACGTACTTAAGATGTTGTACAATGACAAGGACTTATAAAATTTTAAGAAGTAATTTTATAAAAATTTTAAATAACAAAAATATATTATTAATTAAAAAACTTTCAATTATATTAGAATTTAAAATTTTCAAAATAATAACCACTCTGCCGACCCCCAGTTTATCTATGTTTGTGCAATGACCTCCTACATTCATTCGATATTAGACGTGAGATATCAAAATGCCAAAATTTTATTATTGTCATCCTTCAACTGTGAGATATATATAAGAGTGTCAAACGGTTAATTCGATCACTGATCGAATTAATTTTTTGTTAATTGAATTAACAGAACTTTTTTTTCTTTAACCGCTAACCGAATCAAACTTTTTTTTTAAAATATTAATCGAACCAAACAAAGTTCGGTTCTTTGGCCGGCCAACCGAATTAACCAAAAATTTTTATGATTTTTTTTAATTAGATTAATTTGAATATAATAGAAGTATTTTTTATTTGGGGTTAATTTTTTAATTAAGTATTGATAATTTAATGAGTTTAGTCATTAAAAATAATTGAGTCTTAATTCTTAATGAATTTGAGCTTAAAATATGTATTTAATATATATAATATATTTCATATTTAATAATTTCATTCGGTTAATTAACTGATTTCGAACCAAATTAACCGTTAATTGAATATTAAAAAAATATTAACCGTTCCCGACCGAACTAATTCGGTGGCCGACTGAATTAACCAAAATAATTCAGTTCGATCGGTTAAAACCAAAAAATGAACACCCCTAGATATACAAGGATAACAAAATTACCACCAAGATCACTTGATTAGTTCTAATTTTACTTTTAAACATACTTTCATGTTCATCTGAAATAATCTTTCAACCTGAAAATCTTTAAATACTTGCATAGACACTTACTGGCATTGAACACTACAGTTGTGAGTTCAAATAACATAGTTTATAAATTTATAGAGATGAACACACACAAAATAAAGAGATGACGCATTCAAAGTGAATTCAAAAAGAGGATTTTCCCAAGTACAATCATTTCATAACGCACAACAAATAACAAAGCAGCCCTTACCAAAAGGAAAGCAATGAAAACATCTAACATCCCTATGTCATAGTGTTTGATCTCCAACATTTGTAAAGACAACAAAAAACCACAAGCAGAAATGGTAAAATTATCCCCTCTTACAACAGCCGGATCTAACTTTGACAACAACCATGTTCCTTTCAGCGCTTTCTGTTATGCTTCCGCCTCTTCTGTCGCCTGCTCTTACCATCAGAATCAGAATCCGATGTAGATTCTGAGTCGGATGACTCAGAAGACGAGTTGTACCTAGTCCGCCTCACATTCTTCTGCTTCTTCTTATTCTTCCTCCTCTTACGTCTCTTCTCAGACTCCGACGAAGAGCTGTAATCTGTACTACTCTGTGCTGAAGAACCTGATCCTGTAACAGATGATGCACTGCCACTATCGGTCTCGGAAACAAAAGCTTCACGATCACTACTAGAACCTGAATCTGACCGATGCTTCCGCTTGCTTTTCTTAGACCTACTATCATCCTTCTCATCCTTAACATCCGGGTTTTCCAAATCATAAGAGATTGAAGGCTTCATTCTCAATTTCGGGTTCTTAAGCTGCTGAGTACGCGAGGGTCGCGACATATAATGTTACGGAAGACGGCTATCAGATAGAGAAAAATCGCAACTGATAATTTGAGAAAATAAAAATGAAGATAAAAGAGACACAAAATTTACGTGGAAAACCCCTGAATAATATAGGGTAAAAACCACGGGCAACGGTAGAAGAATTTCACTATGAGAAAATAAGAATTACAACTTCTCTTAATCGACCAAGGAGATAACAATGATAATTCTCTCTTGATAAAAAAGAGAAAACAACTCTCAAGAAACTCTCTAAATTCTCTCTAGTATTGGAAGAAAGCTAGAATGCTTTGGGATGGTTTTGAAGCTAAATGAGCTAGGGTATTTATAGTTGAAGCTCTAAGGACTAATTTGTAAATACCCTAAATTAGAATGGCTAAAATTGAAGTTTTACCATTGTTGAAAAAATCAACAAATGTTGCATCCATTTAATTCCACCGAAAGCCACCGAATTTGCCATGTGCAAAGCCATCAAAATTGATTTTGTGCAATTTGACTTTCAACAATCTCTCACTTGAAGATTTGATTGGAACAATCATATCTTCACATCATTCTTTCTACCTTGTACCATCATGTTGCTTACGTCTCTGACAGGCCACACGAGGATCGACACCAAGTAAATTTATTAGCGTTGATCGCCTTTGTCATGAAATCTGCTATGTTGTCTTTGGTATGGATCTTCTGTATATCCACTGTTCCTTCTTCCACCTTTTCACGAATGAAGTGGTACTGAACTCGTATGTGTTTTGTCCTTGAATGAAATGTTGGATTCCTTGCTAGATGCAAGGCGCTTTGACTGTCACAAAAAAGAGAAACATTCTCTTGATTGTGCCCAAGCTCCTCCAATAACATCTTCAACCAAATTGCTTCTTTACTGGCTTGTGTAGCTGCTACATATTCTGCCTCTGTTGTGGATGTAGCCATAACTGACTGCAATTTTGAAACCCAGCTTACAGCTCCACCAGCAACTTTGAACACATATCCTGTAGTAGATTTGCTTTTATCCAAATCCCCTGCATAGTCAGAATCAACATACCCATTGATAAGTAAGTTTGATCCTCCGTAACATAATGCAACATTTGAGGTCCTTTTAATGTATCTCAGGATCCTCTTTACTTTATTCCAATGCTCTTTGCCTGGATTCACTATGTACCGACTAACCCACTGCTTGTGCAATGTCTGGTCTTGTGCATATCATAGTGAACATTAAACTTCCCACTGCTGATGCATACGGTACTCGAGACATCTCCATTCTCTCTTCTTCGCTGCTATGACTCATACTGGAGGATAACTTGAAGTTAATAGGAAGAGGGGTAGAAATTGGCTTACAATCTTGCATGTTGAATCCTGACAATATCTTCTTCAAGTAATTCTTTTGTGAAAGCCAAATCTTCCTATTACTTCTGTCTCGGTGAATTTGCATCCCTAGAATCTTGTTTGCTGATCCCAAGTCCTTCATTTCAAATTCCCTAGCCAGTTGTGCCTTCAATTCTTCAATATGATCTTTGTTGGGTCCTGTAACCAACATGTCATCCACATACAACAACAATATAACAAAATCGTTATCACCAGACCTCTTGAAATAAGCACAAGGGTCTGCATTTAGTCTGTTGTATCCAAGGCACATAATGAAGGAATCAAATCTCTTATACCAACACCTCGGTGCCTGCTTTAGACCGTACAGAGATTTGTTCAACCTGCAAACCAAGTTCTTCTTTTCTTCTTCTTCAAAACCTTCAGGCTAGAGCATATAAATCTCTTCCTCAAGATTTCCATGAAGAAAAGCAGTTTTAACATCTAGCTGCTCTAGATGTAAGTTTAATGTAGCACACATCGCCAAAACTACACGAACTGTTGTTAGTCGAACCACAGGAGAAAATATTTCATTGAAATCAATACATTCTTTTTGAGCATATCCTTTGACCACCAGTCTTGCACGATACCTCTCAACTTGATCGTCACCATTTCGCTTAATTTTGAAAACCCATTTGTTACCAATCAGCTTCCTTCCTTGTGGTAGTGGCACAAGGTCCCATGTATTATTTTTTTGAAGGGCTTCGATTTCTTCTTGCATCACCATCATCCACAGTGAAGCATCTGAGCTGTTTATTGCCTCCTGGTATGTTGATGGCTCACCGTCCTCTGTTAAAAGGCAGTATGCAATATTACCTTCTATAACATAATCTGAGTGCCAATTGGGACGTCTTCTTACACAATCTGATTGACGAGTTGTTGGTGCTTCAGAACTCTCTGGTTCTTGTTCATCATGTGCTGGTTCTGCTTCAGAATAATCTCCTTGTTCAAACTCCTTTTCCACATTTATCTGTGTAGTCTCTGACTTTTCAGTGCTATCATCGTCTTCTTTTCTTTGTAGTTTATCCTCTACAAAGATAACATCCCTGCTGATGATCACTTTGCGGGCAGTGGGATCCCACAAGCGATACCCCTTGAATCCATAAACATACCCCAAGAATTTGCATTTCCTGATTTTGAATCCAGCTTTGAGATTTCTTGGGAGTTGTACATCACGTACACAATACTTCCAAATATATGGAGGTTTGAATAATCAGTTGGTTTACCAGTCCACATCTCTATTGGTGTCTTCAGCTCTATTGCAGTTGATGGAGCTCGATTCACCAAATAACAGGCGGTATTGACTGCTTCTGCCCAGAATGATTCTAGGCCTGCATCCCTCAACATTGCTCTTGTTCTTTCTAACAAGGTTCTGTTCATCCACTCTGCCACTCCATTTTGTCGAGGAGTGTTTACCACTGTGAACTGTCTTTTGATGCCTTCTTTCCTGCAAAAGTTATCAAATTCTTCGCTTGTGTATTCACCTCCATTATCTGTTCTGAAACACTTGATCTTATTTCCAGAATCAAGTTCCACCCACGCTTTGAAGATTTTGAAAGTTGAAAACACATCTGACTTCTTCTTAATAGGATACACCCAACATCTCCTAGAGTAGTCATCAATAAATGAGACAAAGTATTTTGCTCCACCAAGGGATGTAACTGGTGCTTGCCATACGTCAGAATGAACTAATTCTAGAACATTTTTGCCTCTAGAATTT